ATTACACTCCAATAACTCTCTCTCACAACTCTCACGAAAACACACAATACGTCTCCTTGTAAGCACGTGGAACAGCACCATATATGGGGCGATAAGACACGTGCTGCATACATGCGGTTTGGTTATGTAATAGATAAACGAAATCACTTATGTTTAAGATTAATAAATGTAACGTACAGTTTCCAACATATTGACAACAACAAGCGTTTTAACGTTAAAGCAATTGGCATCCACAGCATCAGTGACGAGATTCCGGCAGTGAAAACCTCGCATTTACCGGAAGTTCTTGGCTTACCAAACACAAGATTTCGCCGTGGAAAAGGGCACGTTGACCTGCTGATTGGCATTGATCACACACGCATGCAGGCTGGTGAGAGAAGACAAGTGGACAACCTGCTAGCTCGCAAGTCTCCACTTGGGTGGGTAGTTTTTGGAGGAAACCCAGCGCAGATCAGTGACGTAACCAGCATATTACATGTCAAGTACTCCTCACCAATAGACCTGACAAGCTTGTGGACAACGGAAACTATGGGCGTGGCCGTGAAACCCTGTGTCTGCGATGCAGACAAACTGACTCAAGCAGAAAGAGAAGAAGCCAAGCTCATAGAAGAGTCGTGTTTCAAAGTCGAAAACCAATGCATGATCCCCTACCCTTGGAGAAAAGACCCTAAACTGCTACCAGACAACAAAGAATTGGCTATGAAACGCCTAGAGTCAACAGAACGACGCCTGAAAAGAAATCCTGAACAAGGTGAAGCCTACTGTAAACAGATGGAGGAAATGGAAATAATGAAATTTGCGCGAAAGCTGTCAAAAGAAGAACAAGATGAGTATCATGGTCCTCTTCATTACATTCCCCATCACGTTATACTGAGGCCAGACAAGAAGAGCACACCTGTTCGAATTGTTTTCAATTCATCCTCTGCATTCCAAGGGCATACGTTGAACGATTACTGGAAAAAGGGTCCCGACCTTTTAAACGGCATGTTTGGACTTGTCCTAAGTTTTTGAGAGAGAGAAGTTGCCGTAGTAGGAGACATCTCCAAGATGTATCATCGGGTCCTTATTCCTGAACGAGATTAACATGTACACCGCTTTCTGTGGAGAAACATGGAGACAGAAAGAGAACCTGACATTTTTGTCAAAACTGTTCAGACATTTGGGGACAAGCCTGCACCCGCTATGGCGCAGATAGCCCTAAGAAAAACAGCGCAAGAGAACAAGGCAGGCTACCCAGCAGCGGCCGAAGTACTAACGAACAACA